GCTGTGTGCAATCAGTGCTACCAGATTATCATTCTTACAATTCAAGTGGAATCATACAATCTTATTAACGCAAAAAAGTCTATTTTGGTGAATGCTAATTTTAGACCCCACCTTCAACATTTTTAACAATCTAAAAAAAAAGAGATAATATTCCTCATTCTACAGTTGTGTGCCCGTATTTTATTTTATTTTTGACTTTATTATCAGACATGGTTAGAGACAGGCAGGGGTCAGATAGTGGCAACAGGTATATAGATGGCAAGACACAAGAATATATCCTAGGGCTAGCGTGGGTCTATGATCGGCGAACAGGATCAACAGGGCGAGACTAGAGGGATAAGTCCAGGTACAAGGCAAGGTCCAGGCAGGGGCAAACAGTATCAGAATAGAGCAATCCGAGATACACCGGCGAAGATCAGTACACGAGGAAACAGACAAGGCAAGACTAAGCTAAGGCTAGACTAAGGTAAGGCTATGAAAACTAATGGGCTCCGTAGAATAGCTATCGCTAGGTGAGTGATATACGCTATACAATACTCGGCAGCTTGACAGGGATCAGAGTGAGTGTATATATAGGGAAGGTGTGATTGATGACAGCTGTGTGCAATCAGTGCTGTGTGATTATCATTCTTACAATTCAAGTGGAATCATACAATCTTATTAACGCAAAAAAGTCTATTTTGGTGAATGCTAATTTTAGACCCCACCTTCAACATTTTTAACAATCTAAAAAAAAAGAGATAATATTCCTCATTCTACAGTTGTGTGCCCGTATTTTTATTTTATTTTTGACTATTTTGATTATTATTATTATTTACAAATTTAATTATTCATGGCAACATATATAGAATATAACTATTAACACTGAAGTCTTTCACTTAAAAAAACAGTAATCTACTCTTTACCATGTGTTACAGTAATTTTACCACTTCACATCATGCAAGGATATATTAGTTAACTATATATGCATTAACTAACATTACATAACAATGAGCCATACATACATTTGTTAGTGTTTGTTCATCTATGATAACATACTTTAATAAAAATACAAAGGTTCATTGTTAGGTCATGTTAGCTCGGCTCCAAATTTTTATTTTAATAATGTATTTGTAAATGTTAAGTCTATGTAGATTCATGACTTTCGATTTATTTCGATTTATTTTATTTATTTATTTATTTTGGAACATTAACTAAGATCAATAAATGCTTTAGAGGTATTTTTCATTGTTTGTTCATGTCAACTATTATGCAGTAATTAACTAATGTTAACAAATGGAACCTTATTGTAAAGTACTATCACACCTCTTAACCTTTACAAAATAGCAACACAAAGCTTTCAGTGCCTTATTGTTTAATATAATAGAGCAAGACTGACAAACAGTGATGCACCATCCAGCACACTGGTTCCACTCTTCTCAGGTGTTAAAAACTGAAGGGTAACAAGCAAAGGGAGTCTAATGGATCAAACTGATAAAAAATAAGAAATGAGGGAACTGTGGGGCTGATGATGCAGAGCACAGACATGTGAGGATGGAGACCCCTCGCCTCTCCCCCACTTACCCTCAGTAAGAGGGTCCCTCTCTGTCTCTCTCGTCTAGCCCTCAAAACACTACTGAAAACAAATCACCTCACCAAGCACTTCTTTTTAAATCGTTATATAAAATTCAACACTTGGAATTTGCCCGAAAGGTTTAATTTTCCACTCATTAAAAGAAACTTAAACTAAAGAGAGGGATTTAACATTTTACAGCACCTCTGTCTAACGATAATCACAGGTGTGGCTATCTTTAATGCTCAAATCCTTTTTCCAAATGATTTCCGTAGAGGTTTGGCTATGGGATGTGGAGAAATGAGAGGAGGGAAGGGGGATTCCTGGGCGCTGGCAGTGCCAAGCACACCAGGAAATATGCCACGGCAGGAGCAGGTGCCTCTTAACTTACTAAAACACACACACACACACACACACACACACTGTGGCACACGGGAAGCAGATGCTAATGTGGCCAGCAGACAGTTTATTTTCTTATAATATATATATAAAAATATACTCTCATCAAGAGGACTAATTATTCAAACACTGTGAGACAAAGAGAGAAGGAAAAGATTAATAAAGGGAGCTGAAGCATGTGCGTGGATTATCAATTACCGTAATCACTATTTTTATCTTGTTCTCCAGGAAAAATATTTAAAGATCTTTAAAATAAGAACTCGAGAAGCAAAATTGCATAACATAATAAACTAGCATAAGATGCTAAGAGAATCATTGTTTGATAATCGAGAATGTAATCGTTATGTTTATTTTACTTACCCAGTGGCAGGCCAAGGAAACTTTTTCTGCATTTCCTTTGCTGATTTTAGTGAAAAATCAGCGGAAGTTTGTGCAATGGGTTTAATTTTGGTAATGTGGGTTGAAATGAAGAGTGCTAGACATTTACCGGTAGATAATAGTTAGACATAATTAATATGCCAAAATATTTAATAAACAAACACTGAACAAGAGGTAAAATGAATGCTATATATAATCTCTAAAAATGTCTAAATGTCTTATGCAATAGATAAGTTTAGAATTTTTTAAAATAAAAAAACAAGAGAATACTGATTAAGTATATGATTTTGTGTATCAACTGCATTATTACACTTTTAAACACACACACACACACACACACACACACACACACACACACACACACACACACACACACACACACAGTCTCTGACTAAGATCCCACTGAACCCAGACTGTCCCGGGACCCCGTCCGTGGCCTCTGTTTGGCCCTATCTGGACAATCAGCGTTTCGTGGTGCTGTACCGCTTTTAAATTGCTTTTCGGATTTGAACACGAACCACTGAACCAAAACCCATAGAAAGGGGAATATTTCACAAAAACCCACAAAAGTATTTTCTTTGGCTCTCCTGGCCTATGAACGTCAACTTTAACAAGGTTAATGATAAAGACATCTGTAACAATAACTGGAAGTAATATTCATACATCATAAAATATGCTTCCCTTTCATGTGTGTTTTTGTGTAGGTTTGGAACGTGCAACTATTTCATAATTAATGAATCAAAACATGCCACGGCGGGTCACCGGGGGCAGGCGGAGCGATCCGTCAGACGGGTGTTTGCACAACTGCAGCGCAAACATGCTGGGAAGAGAAGTCCCGCCACCTTCACGAGTCACACAGCTAGTGCTAATGCGATGCTAGGCGCTCACAGGGTTTGAAAAGGGAGGAGATGGATATGCCTGAGAAAGTCTTTCCATCTCAGGGCCTCTGAGCAAGGACTGAGCAAATGGGGCTGATCAAATCCTGGATTTCGGACCTGGGCAGGAATTAAGAAGGCATAATAATGCAAAACACTGACAAAATGCTATGCAAGAGGGACAAAATGGCTAGTTGAGAAGTCCAATTTCATAAGGCAAAGATGTAGATGAAAACATGCATCGAATGATCAAAGTAGATTTATATAGTCAATAAAAAATGTTAATTCAAAGGCTGATGCCGATACTGAGATTACAGTGTTGCTGGTGTCCAATATAATGCTGATATATACATTACCAAATGCAAATGTTGCCTAAATGAAATGACCACCTATTTTCTCAAAGTGCACCAAATTTAGTACAAGTTGATGCAAACGGCTGATGATCATCTCAAAAACCTATATATCGGTCTATCACTGCTTCGTAAGTCATAAAATGTGAGCACATTCTTCAAAAACTGCATATTCTAAAATATCGCACATCAATAGAAAGCACTGAAATCGCCTGACGGGTCATTAGGTGAGGGCCGCCCTGGCCCGATTTAACTTCTCATGAGCTCGTCACCTGTGACGACACTCCTGGGAGGCTGGAGTCCAACGCGTTGGCCTGGCCAGGAGAAAAGCGAAGACGTGATGGAGACGAACGAGTGAGGGAAAGAGGAGGAGTGTATTGAGTCATGAGAGGAGGGTTAATGAGCCTCATCGGGGGCTGATGTATGGGTCTGCGTGAGGGCGCAGTTTGGCAGAGCGCCGCCGCTGTAAGCCCCATTAAGAGCAGACAGTGGAGAACTGGAGGAGAGGGAAAGACTGGCTAGGGGGCGTCTAACGCTGCCACACGTGTGGCCCACTAGGGCTAGAAGAATTGAGCAGGCATGTGGAAGTTTGTGAAGACAATGCTACTTTTAGGGTGCTGGCAATCAATGTTAATGGTTACATCATTACGTTACTCCTGTAGAAAGCTTACAGCATTTTACACATCACATGCTTGGTCATTTATTATATTTTTGGCTAATTTGTACTTTCAACAACAAACAAGAGTGCAGCACGGTCAGCTCTGATTAGAATCCATTCCCTGAAATTTTCCATTAAAGTTGGCAGATTCTGTCTAGTATGGACATAAAATTAAAATTGCGAGATGGTTTAGCGTAATTATTAATCTCAAAGATTGGGAGTTAATTAAATAAATATATGCACTGTGTCAGAGTGAAGCGCAGCACTGTTTTCTTGAATTTAGCATCAATGACAAATTTTTAATTCAAAAATTTCCCCCAAATCATGCAGCCCTACTTTCTAGAATTATATAATATAAAGTATTTTATGATATGTTTGTGTAACTTTTTCTTACTCTCTCCCAGAGTA